GTGCTGCGCGTTGCCCGCGCGCCCCGCTCCAGAGCCCTCGAGACCGAGAAGACCTGCTTCTGGAAGAAACTTACTGACGCGACAGAAAAATACCATATCGACACCACCCTGATAGACGCCAATGCCAGGACAGGTGACATCGCTAGCACAGCGATGGGCGACCGAGGCATGAGGCAGAAAGAAAGTCCAAATGGCCGAAGGCTCCACGAGTTACTCCTCCCCAACTGCCTCGCGGCCGCCAACGCGTTTGTCGGCCAAGGGCCCGGGCGCCACGCCTGGCACTTAAGCAAGAATCCCCGCCGCATCGACTACGTCGTCATTCCCAAGGGTTACGCGGACTCGATCGAGGCTTGCTCTGTCCTGTAAGGTATCGACAACGGCTGCGGCCCCGATTCCAAGGATGACCACTGCCCCGTCAAGCTGGAGCTCGCATACGAGATTGCGTCTTCGACCTCCAAGGGCGCCCCCAAGCTCGACGAGCACGAGTTGGCGGACGACGCCTGCCGCGAGAAGTTCAGCGACAAGCTGCGCGACATCCAACGCCCGACGTGGGATGCCAACATCGACGACCACCTCGCCACCATCACCGAGAAGGTCAAAGGCTGCCTACGACGCTTTCGCTTCCGCGGCCGCGCCCCGCGCAAGCCCTGCATCTCAAATCGGCCATTTGCCCTTCTACGTGCCCGCCGATCACTGCTCGAGACGACCCGAATCATCGAGAAGAACGGGATCGCCAACGAATGTGGCATGAAGCGGCTCCGATAAACAGCAAAACTCCTACCGCGCGACGCCGTGCCCCCCGACCCAGCGAGCTCGGGGCTCCTGGCCAACATCAACGTCTACGCCCAACTCATCACCGCATCCATTATCTTCGCCACCTCTGCACCCTGCAAACAAGCAGACAGCGCAACGCCCCGGGCCACTACAACAACAAACGACCACCTCCAAGCGCCAAGTACTACTGCGGCACCATCGTCCAGTTCCTCAACTCAACCAAGCCGATACTCAGGAAATGGATCGAAGAAGACCGCAACGCGTTCCTGGAGAAGACCGCCGACGACATGAATGCCGCCATCAATGATCATGCACCGCGGCAAGAGGCCCCGCACTCCAAACGACTGCTGGCCTACGGAGGGCGAAAACCAAAAGAAGCCGCCTACGCCCATCATTCGCAGCACTGAAGACGGAATGCCCCTCGCAACCCAGACCGAGATTGCCGACCACTCCTTGGCACGCTACGGCAAGATCGAGATGGGCAAGATGACCGACGCCGACGGGGCAGCCAAGGACCACAGCGAGCGCGCCAGCACAACCCGACCAACACCTAATATGCAGAACACCACCCCCAGACGCCAGCTCACTAGCCAACTGGCCGCCGCCGAGAGCGGACGACGAGGAGGGCCAGACGAGCTTGCAGACGACATGGCCAGGTCAGACCCCGAAGGGGTGGCTCGTCTTCTACATCCATGCAGGCCAAGACCCAGATCGGGAGCACCGGGCCCATCGCCGCCAAGGGCGGGCACCCCGAGCACTTCTACAAGGGGCAGGTTGCCATAGAACAGCAGAAGTCCTATCGCGGCACCCTTCTCAACGACGCTTCTGGGAAGATGCGCGGCAACTTTCTGCGCTCCAGAGCGAAAGGCATGCTGCCCAACCTTCTGGTAGCGACGCAGTGTGGAGCGAAACCTAAGATGGCGACAGACTTCATCACCCACACATCTCTCGCTTTCGTCGCCAACTGCCAGAGGAGGGCAACATCGGGTGGCACTACCTTCCTCGACCTCAAGGGAGCCTTCCACTCCGTTGCCAGGGAATTCTGCATGGAGCCCCCTACCACCGCCGACGAACTTAACGACCTCATCGAGCAGATAGATATACCCGCATTCCTCAATCCCTCGCTCATCGGCGGACTGAAGCAGCCAGCACACAACAGCCGACGCATCGACGACGAGCACCTCTGCCGCATGATCGCCGACCACCATGCCTCAAATGGGATTTCTGCGGAGAGGGCCAAGCAATATCAACCACCACGGACAAGCACGCGACCTGGCGTCCCGCACCCCGATGTCGCTTTCAACGCCCACTTCGCCATCATGCTGCGGGCCATCGGCGAACCACCGCAGGAACCGAAGAAAGCAACCAGCCGTCAGGAGACCACGACATAGATGCATGTCAGGCACCGCTTTTTCTCTGCATCACCTCACGAGGGCGGCGCGATCAGGAACGTGTCCTTCGTTGACGACCTCACAGACTACAGCTCGCCCACCAGTGCCAGCGACCTCATGCAGGTGACACGACTTTCAGCCACCAGATTGCGCACAGCAGCTTGCCAGCACTGACTCAAGCTTGACTCAATCCCCACCCTGACAATGCGAACGCCATTCTCATGCACTAAGTACGGCAGCGGGGCCAAGGAAGAGCGCCAGAAGACCACCAGGGACAAGGTCACCTACACCGAGCTCGAGAACATCCCCATCAAAGTCGAGCTCGTGACCCAGCAGAAAGCCCTCGGCACCATTATCGCGGCGGGAGGGGCCACGGGCCCCGATATCTGCCTCAGGGTCAACAAACACTCGGAGCTGCAAGACCCTTGGAAGAGCAGACCCTCCGCCGCAAGAAACGATCGACGAAGGCCCAGATGAAGTATGTCCACGCCCTGTCTACCGCGCCCCAGACCTACAGTCACCGCGTCTGGAACCGCCTGACCAAGAAAGACCGCAACTACATTGCGACCAGGTACATGGGACCCAGCCGAATGGCGGCCTCCATGCCCAAGACGAGCACGCCCGACGAGCACGTCACCAGCAGCGAGGCGATTGCGAAGACGGGCGTCCCCGACTTCGGCACACAACAGACGGCAGCCCGATTGCGATACTTACCCCGCCTCCTGAACCACGCCCCCCCCGTCCTATTACAGCTACTCGACAGCCAGCGGCAGGTTAGAGGCACATGGGGCCACTTCCTCAAGCAGGACTTGGCCTTTCTCAGGAGGCACCTCCCACAAGACAGATGGCCTAGCCAGGGCCAGCAATACAGCGACATCATCGGCTGGGCCCGACAAAGACCCAAGCATTTCACCAACGCGGTCAAGGCGGCCACACAGTCCTACTTGCACTACATGAGAGACGAGGCCCAGCTAATCAGGCTCCATAAAGCCATCCAAATGCCCCCTGGCACCATCGAGCACCGTCGAGATAGAGCACTCCGACGACGACGCCAAGGCCAAATACGCATGCTACATCTGCGACCGCACGGCAACCAAGCAAGGAATGGCAGTGCATATGGGAAGGGGCCACACCCGCCAATGAGAATCCTCGACGATGGGCAACACATACGGCGTGCAGGTGCTGCCAGACGGAATTCCATACCTTCCCGAGGCTCTTGGAGAACCTCGCGGTGGCCCACCGCTGACGCAAGTCATGGCACGCATGGCACACCATGACGATGAACCCCTTACCGAGCAACACATCGCGGACAACTACGACGCCATCGCCACGACCACGGCAGCAAACAAGAAGTGCGGCCGACTGGCGACCTTCAGCGAGATACCCGCCTACAAGATCGCCATCACGCCGCTCCCACTCCTCGAGACGTCCCCCATCCTTCCCAAGGTCTACGCTGCCATCCAACCCACGGTACCACCCCAACCTACTGCACTCAAGGTACCCGAGCCAGCCGAACGACAGGAAGTTGTATTCATCACGGATCGCCCTCGGCAACACAGCGACCTGCAACAGATCATGGCCACCAACACAATCTCCAACATGAGCGGACTGGACTACCGCACGATCGACTCCAACTACGACTCAGATGCACCAATATCGGATCACGATCTACAGATCATCCGCGACAAGATCAGGAAAAGAGAGATCGCCGCCATATACGCCGAGCTACCGAGAAAGACTTGGTACAGCCACGGCAATGCCGAGGTCACCACCAACTACGCCAATAGCCGTCGCTCTAATGAAAGGCCATGGGGACCAACCGATGCCACAGAAAAGATAGCCAGCAAGCTGCACTCGGCCAACTCCGTCACTAGAGAGATCCTCATGACCATACATGCAGCCTCAGAAGCCAAGGTAACCTTCCTCACCTTACACGCCGAGGACTCCATCTTCTGGACAACCCCCGAGAGCCACCACATCATCAAGCACATCGCTGCGGCATGCGGCACGGCCAACCACTACGAGCTCGGGACCATCAAGACAGTCACCAACTCGGCAGACCCCATTCACGAGACCAGGTTCAAGGATACAGTCGCCGAGGACTTTGACTACGCCGCAGCTGCCCAGCCAGCTCGACGAGATGATCATTGCTAGATGGGGCTTCGGAGTATCCAGCTCAGCACCAGCCAACGACACGAACACCAGCCACGATAGCTACATCAACTACGGCGACGAAGGGGACATCACCAACGGCGACAAGAACGACAACACCGCCAGCAGCAACTCCGTCGCCAAACACACCTGCAGCCCCAAGAACGTCTACGAGACTCCACGCAACGGAGACGACCGTCAAACGGCAGCAGCTTCTGCAGACACGCAGTACGGTCTGGAACCTGGAGTCAGAGCGCAAAGTCCTACGTTGTGTGCCAATGCGGCAACTAGGCACGACGTCGCCGCGTAAGCTGGAGGGTGTTAGAACGCAACGACCTAGTGTGCCATTGCGGCTACTAGGCAGCAGGTCGCCACGCGAGCTCGGGGGTCCAGCGACGGATCTTGCATCTGGCACGGATGGAAAAGACGAAAGGTCAAGAGCACGTACCCGACGGCTAAGCTACTGCAGGTCATCCAGTCCAACGGCACCCGAGAAGGCGTACGACGGCAACAACGGGTACACAGCCATGCGCGGCAGCCCGCAGCCAGGTGGCCGAAGGGCGGGCTGCCCCCAAGACATGAGCTACGACTTGCGCACCGCTACGAAGGGCAGCCCGCAGCCACTAGGCCGAAGGGCGGGCTGCCCGAAAGAGACGACGACTGCGACGAGAAGGCAAGGATCACTCAGTCAAGGAAAGATGCACGCCTGGCAGCCCGCAGCCCAAGAGCGGCCGAAGGGCGGGCTGCCAGACAGAAGGCAAGGTGGGGCACCGTGCCCCACGGCAGGCTCCCGAGCGGAACCGCCGCCTCGCGTGGCAGGCGAGGCCGAGCCGTCCAGCATGGACAAAAGAGGCTCAAAGCCATCAAAGATGCTGGACAGAGAAGGCTGAGCCCCCTCAGCTTGCGAGCCGAAGGGAGGGGGCTCATCGCAAAGACCGAGAGGAAGACGTTCGGCGCCAACAACAAGGCGCCCTCGTGAGGGCTTCGGCGTGGCCAGCGCCGTGGAGCCCGTATCGAAAGGCTTCGAAAGGAGGAGGAAGAGGGAGGAGGAAGAGGAGGAGGAGGACGAGGAGGAGGGAGGAGGAGGAGGGAGGAGGAGGAGGAGGAGGAGGAGGAGGAGGAGGAGGAAAAAGAGGAGGTGGCCGATCTTGGGGACCGGTCGCGCAGCGCGGCACCACGCCGGTCGCGGAGCGAGTCCCCGCGCCGGTCGAGGCGCGAGGCTCCCGCGAGGTGCGGCGCAGCGAGGCGCCACCTCGCGAGGGGCACCCGCGCGCGCGCGCACTGCCCAGCCGCGCAGCGAGGCGCCGGCCGCTATGGGTGGGGCCAGGGCGCCCCACCTACAGTCGAGGTACTATCAGAAGGAACGCTCAATCAGGAACGAAGCCCCTTCTTGGCCCCAGAAGCGCCCAGGTGCACGAGGAGTGATGGATGAGGAGCCATGGAAGAGCTTAAGGAACAGCGAGCTCCTTCCGCACCCCAGGCGTTCCTTATTTCAGCGTCTTGGCTGTACGACAGGTTCGCGTCGTGTCGACCCCGGCGTTGGTTCCTGACACCGCGGGGATCGTTCAAACTGGAACGATGGGCCGTTCCATGAACGCCGGATCGTTCCACGACGGGGCGATTCCGGGCCACGGGCGGCGTTCAACCTTAACACGCACGCGCTGGGGTCGCCGCTGGTCAACGCGACGCGAACCTGCCGCATCGCGGAGCGAGGCCCCGCTCCGTTCCGCAGGGCGAGGCCCCCAGCAGCCATCCGCGGAGCGAGGCCCCCGCGGATGCCGCCCCGCACCGCTGGAGGGAGCCGCGGGAGGGCTCGGGCAAAGGAGGTCTCCTCTCGGGCGCAAGCGAAGCGTGCTGGGGGCTGCTGCGGCACAAGCGGCGCGGGCGCGCAATCCTGATGAGAGGATGGGATGCGTGCGCGCGTCTCGCCCTCCACCTCCCCATCCTCATCCCCCTCCACCTCGCCCTACACGTCCTCCTCCTCCCTCCTCTCCTCTCCTCTCCCTCCCCCTTACTCCCTCTCCACCCTCTAGTCGTCCTCATGATGAAAGGGGCCCTCCAGGTAGACTGCAGCGTCGGCCTGCGAATGGACGTCGCCAATACGACATCACGCCCCGTACGGGATGGGCGCGCGGATTGCCAGCATCTCATCAGCGACACAATCAAACCGTCGCAGAAGCGGAGGAAAAGGGAGAGGGGAGGAGGAGGAGGAAGAGGAGCAGCAGCAGTAGGAGGACGAGGGCGAGGAGGGGAAGGAGGGGAAGAGGAGGAGCGAAGGTCGTCGTCGTGCTTCTTTTCCCTGGAGACTGGGCCTGTCGGCGGGCAAGAACTTCAGGAGGTCCTCGATGATGGGCTCGAACTCGGGGCACAAGAGCTTGTCGGCCTCCGTGGGCGTAGATGGGGCAGTTCTGGCTCCAGACGGCGAGAAACATAATAGAAGACTGCGGGAGCAGGAGGTGAGAGAGGACGGGGAGGAGAAGAAAGAGGAACCAATGTAAACCCACGATGCATCAACGATGTTACAATAAACCATCCCTCCAAGTTTCCTCTTCATAGGTCCCGAAAGAATGAATGACCATTGCTGGAAATTGCCCATTAAAGGACAATCGTCTGAAAATCTCGAACGTACCAATCTATCGTTCCTGCGACTTCAACATCGCGGATCAGAACAAATGGGGCGTCCTCAAATTTCTAAATCGAACCAGCAAACCATTCCTGGCACTTCTTCGTCCTCACAATCCTAAGTCGTGCCAGAACACAACTCCTGGGATTTTTACCATACGAACTCATGAAACTGCCGCAAGCCATTATTTACGACAGCCTGGACCTACAGCGAGAAACACATTTCGGAAAAAGAGCTGCCCTCCATCCCCATCCGCGAAAGGGCTGAATTTCTTAAGTCGAATGTGCGCGGCGCTATGGCGAGAGCCACATTTTGAAAACGGCCCCGCCCTCCACCGTGCAGCCGCTGCAAATTTCGAAAACGAATGTGCGCGGCACTAGAGCGAGACCTACATCTTGAAAACGGCCCGCCCTCCATCCGTGAAGCTGCTAAAAAAATCCCCAAACAATGCTTGCACTTAGGGCTTCTTCCGTGTTGTTCAAAAGGAACTCGGCCTGTCTGGCGGTCTGGCGACTATGTCGCCGTCGCCGCCCCGTCGCCGCCCGTCGTCTGGGTTTGGCTGGCGGTCAAACGGCTCTGTTGTCGCCGTGGCCCCGTCCCGTCGCCGCCGCCACGTTGCGCAATATAGGTTTATGTGGTTAAAAAATCGTTCTACCCCCCCACACGGATCATCGGCCACACTGGGATACTGTAGTTTACGCGCGAAACTGCCCCATCGTTGCTTAAGTATAGACTTTCAAGGCCCAGCTGGTCTCGCCGCCGCTCATACGCATCGCTGTCAAATAACAGTATGCGCGCACAATCGTTTATCACATACAACATATTGTCCAACATTGTTTTGTAACGAGCGGGACGAACACGATCGCGCGCGCACCGTCGCGCGCACGCGTTAGAATTCAAAAACCATGTCTCGTACGGGTTTCAAGAACGAAGCCCCCGAAAATACATGAACACGACATGGTTTTGAAACTTGACGCTTCAACCAGAGTCTGCGCGCGCGTTCTTGCGAATTTGCCAGAATTCCACAAGTTGATTTTTTTTCAACCGTGTCATAATTTCGACCAAGCGGGCCTCTCGCGCGCGCATGTCGAAATCATCCCAAGCGCGGGTGCTGAGGGAGCGCGACCCCTTGTCAACATGCCATGCGGGATATTCGCGCCCGTCGGCCGCGCGCGCATGCCGAAATCCCCCCAAATCTTCATCACCGTCACGTGGGCACCACCACCGTCATCGGCGTGATCGGCATCGGCGCGTCATTGGTCTTGCCGTCGTCATTGTAATCACCATCGTCGTCGCCAGCATCGTTACTATCATCGTGTCTGCCTTTGCCGACGTCGCCACGATACCGCACCCGCCCGCTCGCAAGCGCCGCCTTCGAGACGCGCTGCGAAGTCCCCAACGAACAACGCCATCGCGGCCGCATCGGTCACGCCACCACACCAGCTGGCCGCTCTGCACGCGAGCCAACGCGCGCCAACGCGGCCGCAATCGCCACCGCATGGGTTTTGTAACCAAGTTGCGGGTGGGTGGGTGGGACGGATGCGCGAGCAATGGAATTCCAAACTTCAAACTCGTCTGCGTGAAGTGCACCACGTAGGTTCTCCTCTTTTTGAACAACTTAGATTATACATCCCCCTCTGGGACTGCCGCTCCCCCTGGCGTACTGCATGTTACATATGAGTATGCCTCCTTGTTCGTTTTCCCTCTGATTCTGTGCCATCCCAGCTAGTCCGGTATCGGGCACCCCCCCTCATCTCTGTCAAATGAAACCATGCGGCGCGCATGTGTTGATCTGAGATAGGCTGAATACACGAATCCTTATGACGTAATATCACGCGGGTCACTTGCGCGCGCAAGACAAAATCCTTCCAACACAGTTGTTGCCGTGGCGATTTTAATGTAAAAAACATCAAAAACCAGATCAGCCAGCGTTGACTCCAAATAGATAGGAGGACACGAGGAGGACGAGAGGAGGATGGGGGGAGGACGACAGGAGGACGGGAGGAGCAAACAAGCGCCAGCAAGCAAGCGGAAGCAAGCAAGCGCAAACAATACATAACAAGCAGGCAAGAGCCAACGATCAAGTACAAGCAAGCAAAGGCAAGCAAGAGCAAGCAAGCGCGCAAGAGCAAACAAGCAAGTGCAAGTGAACATGTGATGCTGACGAGGAAGAATCCACAGGAATCACAGGCATCCAGAGGACTCGCCATTGGCAATAGCTGGGGGATGCCATTGGAAATCAGGGGGGGGCATTGGCCAACAGGGGTGGGGGTGGGGAGGGGAGTGCCACTGGAAGTACGGGGAGGCGCCGTTGGAAAAAAGGGGAGGGGGATGCTAAAGACCAATTGCTTATGATGGGCTGGGACTCGTACAGGGCAAACCTAGCTTTCAACATTTCATCCCACGCGCTCTTGCGGGCTCCTAGGAAACCCAATGCGCGTTCAACTTTCCTGTCCAAGGAAGCCTTCGCGCACGCATGTCGAACTTATTCCGATGTCCTCGCGTGCTTGCGAAAGGCGTGGTCCCAGTCAAATAATTCCATGCGGGGCACCGTCATCGTCATCATTACCGTCGGAAGCGTCGTGGTAATTCTCATCGTCGTTTGTCGGCGCCGTCGTCCGCGCTGTCTCCCGAAAGATGGTTTTTGCCAGCGCGGCGAACGTCCGCGCGCCAATGAACACGATGAATTTATCGGACGAGCTCCACGCTGCAACTGTACTCCCGACCTTATGACTTCTGCCAACCACCTCATCGTCGTTTGTCGACGCTGTCGTCCGCGCTCTCCCGCAGGATTGACTATACCCGCGCCGCGAGGGTCCGCGTGCCAGTGAGCTCGATGAAATGTGTGGAGGAGCTCCACGCTGCAACTGCAATCGCGACCTTATGAGTTTTGCCGGCCAAGATGCGGGCGGGAGGGTGGGATGTTTGCACGATCGTGGGAGGTGGTCACGCGCGGTGCAGCGTGGTCAACTACACCACACGACTTGCACAACATCAATTGCACAAGAGAGGCTGCACAACATCAATTAATCCACATATATTGCAACTATAGTTACACCAAATCGGTTGCACAACTATTGCACCGCATAAGCTGCTCAAAAGTATTGCGCAACATAGACTACGTATAAACCATATTACAAGACGTACAATCACCTTTCTTACAAAACACTCGATCACCCTCCTGGGCTTATCACCCGCCTCCGGGGCATTGCAAGCTGCATTTGATTATGCCTCCCTTTTCATTTTCCATATGAACTCATAGCATCCCAGCCAGACCTGTATCGACCCGCTCCGCATCCCTGTCACGTAATACCATGCGGTGCACATGCATTGATATACGATGAGCTTGTGGCATGAACCCGATCAAATAGTATTATGCGGGCCACATGCATGCGCGCAAGACAAATCATCCAAACCTTTCTTTCCATGATGATTTCAGCAAAAAACATCAAAACTCAGTGGTTATTGAAGCATGTTTCGAAAAATGCTCATCCCGCGCGCTCTTCATAGGGAAACCAATGTTTGCAACTTTCCTGTCCACGTAGGCCTTCGTGCGCGCATGTCGGACTTATTCCAACTCCCTCGCGCGCTTGCCAGAGGCATGGCCCCTGTCAAATAATATCATGCGGGGCATATGCTCGATGATGAGCTTGTGCCGCGAGCCCATGTCGAGCAATGCCACGCGGTACTCATGCGTTGATCGAAGAGGGAGGAGCTTCCAGGACGAAGCCCGATCCAAAAATACAAAGCGAGCCGCATGCGCGTCTTATCTCTGCGGGAATTGAGGGACCACTCCACTGTTCCTTGCGCGCCACCTCCCTGCGGGGAATTGAGGAGCCACCCTTCTGTTCCTGACGCCTCTCTCCTCTGCTCCCTTCGCGTGGTCTCTCCGGAGCTCCATTCCGTGGTTTGCGAGGGCTTTCAGGAACCAACTGTCCGTATCCAAGATCTCGCTAACAATCCGCATTCCCAAAACAATGCTTGCACTCCAGGAGCCCGTCCTACCGTGCCCCGAGCCCGTCGGGAGCACGCCTTCACCGTCTGGGGGGCCTCGCAGGCGCCTCACTGGAGCTCCAAAGGATTGCATGAGGAGGCTCGCAGGGACCCCTCCCCAGGGGGCGCTCGGGGCCGCCAGGATCTCATCCACAAGTCTTGCAGCATGGGCTCCTTCAGCGCGGCAAGGCCGTGCAGTCGTGGGTTCATCGGGCCTGCAGGCGTTGCGTCAGTTTGAGAATATAAATATTGCCAGCCAAGCTGCGGGTGTGAGGGTGGTATGTTTGCACGAGCATGGGAGGTGGTCACTCACGCGCGGACCGCTCTACACAGGCTTCATAATATATATATATATATATATACATATATATATATATATTGCTAGAAGCGAGCTGTTTGGGGTCCACGCTGGCTAACATGTCGAGCTTCAAAACTGTGAATGGCGAAGAAATCTCAGGCGAAACGCCGGCCCAACCCTACCGACGCTTCTGATGGTGCGACAGGGAGGAGATCTTTGTAAGGAAGAAGGATGAAGGAGGACGGCGAGGAGGAGGATAGTCGCAGCGGTCAGTCAGGGCACGGGTGGTTCCCTTCACCAGACAAATTGTGGTGGTTTTCGATGAATGGGGATACCAACCTCGCGGCCTGAAACAGGGGATGGCGGATAACTGCGATGATGAGGTGCTTAGTGCGGAGCACCTGGCGATGTTCCACCTCCCTATCTCGTTCGCTGGTCTTCACCCCCTCGTCACCCCATGCCCGTTGGTGACCCTCACGAATCAGGGCCCTACGGGGTTGGCACCCCAAAAAAGGGGGAACGAACTTGCCTTAGCAATGGTCCGCACTTTGGCATTTTTACCTCAGGTTCCGGCTCTGTTCTTCCTAATCCTCTTTGGCCACCCACCTTCCTACCTTCGATTCGTGAAAATGTGCCTTTTCTCAATGAGAAGGTGGCGACGCCCCGGGCATCTGACTGATTCTTAGGGTTTGGCGATCCTGTCGAATCGCGGAGTGTGCGTGATGCAACGCATGAGGGGCCAACACCCTAAAATGCGGGCACATGTCTGATGCGGGGTATAGTCGATCCAACTGAATCGACTAGCCGAAGGCTACATGTGAACTCCGCGAGTCCGTAGCTCTCGGCCTCGGTGTCTTTAACCTCTACCCAGAGGTGCGGAATAGGGGTCCCGAGCCCCAATCACGTAAGCAGAATAGTCCAGTGGGAGGGGCAATGGCCGATCTAAATGAATCGAGAGGCAAGGGGCTAAATCTGAACTCCTGGAGTCCGTACCTCTCCGCCTCTGCGCCTCAAAAACCGATCCCTCGTGTCGGAATCAGGTTTGGGGAGCACTACCGAAGAGACCTTGTTGAATACGATTGCTGCCTTCGTTCGCCATATGTTGGCCCTCCATCCATGCCCCCCGCTCACCCAGCACTCTCTCCATCCCGCTCCCCACAACGCGATTTTGCGTCATGTTCGGGGATCACCCTGACGGAAGAGCAGCCTGGCAATACATGCAGACCTCCCCCCTGAGTTTCAGGCTGAATTTTGCAGCCGAAGCACTTGCAATAAAGTGTCAGGCTAAAATTTGTAGCCCCTACACTTGCAGTAAAATGTCCGGTCATGATTTTCAGCCGAAGCACTTGCAATAAAATATCGGGCTGAAGTTTCCCTAATTACAGCTCAAAGGATGATAATACTTCCGCAGGAAACCGCTGTTTCCCAGCACGCGCCCTGGGGACGGCCGGGGGGGTCTGCATGTGTTGTTCCCCCCCGCAACAAGAAATAAATTTCACGGAGTTGGTGCGTCACGGAGTCTGTGCAAGACGGCAATTTGTCACATAGCTTCCTGAACGTCACAGAGACGGTGCGTCACGGATTCGGTGCGTCACCGACGCCGCAACCGCACCAAGCACACAACGCGAAGCAACGGGTTCAAGGCCACAGCGAAGCTCCCAGGCCCTCCAAGCCCCCACACCCTCGACGACGACCCTACGACAGCGTCTTGTTGTCGATCCATTCGAATCGACAGGCCGATGTACAACTGTGAACTTCAAGTCCGTAGCCCCCTGCCTTTGTGCCGATCCAATCGACTCGACTGGCTGGGTGAGGAGGAGGAGGAACGGGAGGGGGGGATGGGGGAGGAGGACAGCATGTTCCAAGGGGGGTCTCACGTAATTAGGTGTACGCGGGGACTTGAAATGCTCCTGCGGGGGGGTGCAGGGTGCTCTGCGGGGGGGGGCGGGGCGACGTGAGAATGGCGAGGGTGAGAAGCGGGAGAAGGGGGGGTAGGGGAGAGAGGGAAGGAGGGCAAGATTGGCGAGTTCGCGCCATACCTGACATCCTGACCCCTCCAACCCCTTACCTTGGAAACGAATCCCCCCTATTCGCTACATAACTGTCGAAGAAGACATGGGCACCAACAAAAAAGAACACTGACTTGTCCTGAAACACGGCAGTCGCAAAGTGGGAACACAACCTTTGCTGATGCCCGGGTGCAATAGTGTGGCCAGCGGTGCAACAATGCGGCCAGCGCGGCGGCAAGACCGCCGCTCCGTGGGATGGAGGCTCGATGGAAATCTGCACGTGTGACAAACGCTGAAAATAGAAACTACACATTTGCTGATGCAAGAAATGGACAACGCTGCGGCCAGAGCGCCGTTCACAGAAGTGCATGTTGCTGATGCGCCTGTTCCTCCTAGTTTTCCGCCTCCCCCTGCTCCTCGGCCTCGTGGTCGTCGTCGTCGCTGCAGTCGTCGTCGGGGTCTCCTCCTCCTCTTCCTCGTGATCCTGATCCTGATACTCATCCTGATCATCATCCTCATCTGCCTCATCATCATCAACATCATCATCAGCATCATCATCACCATCACCATCACCATCACCATCACCATCACCATCACCATCACCATCATCATCATCATCATCATCATCATCATCATCATAATAATCATCATCATCATCATCATCATCATCATCGTCCTCATCGTCCTCATCGTCCTCATCGTCCTCATCGTCATCAGCATCATCCTCATCATCCTCATCATCATCATCATCATCATCACCATCCTCAACCTCAACCTCATTATCATCATCCTCATCATCATCAGCCTCATCCTCATCCTCATCCTCATCAGCATCAGCATCATCATCATCAGCATCAGCAGCCGCATCATCCTCATCCTCATCCTCATCTTCATCAGCATCAGCATCATCCTCATCCTCACCCTTCTTATCATCCTCGTCCTCGTCCTCATCCTCAGCATCATCAGCATCATTAGCATGATCATCCTCATTATCATTCTCACCATCCTCATCATCCTCATCATCATCCTCATCCTCCTCATCAGCATTATCATCATCACCATCACTATCATCATCCTCATCCTGCTCCTCCTCCTCCTCATCATCATCATCATCGTCACCGTCATCATCATCATCATCATCATCATCATCATCATCATCCTCATCCTCAACCTCAACCTCAACCTCAACCTCATCATCATCCTCATCACCATCCTCATCATCATCATCATCCTCATCCTCATCTTCATCCTCATCAGCATCATCATCATCATCATCAGCATCAGCATCCGCATCATCCGCATCCTCATCTTCATCAGCATCAGCATCAGCATCATCCTCATCCTCACGCTCCTTATCATCCTTGTCCTCGTCCTCATCCTCATCCTCAGCATCATCAGCATAATCAGCATCATCATCCTCATCCTCATTCTCACCATCCTCATCATCCTCATCATCATCCTCATCCTCCTCATCAACATCATCATTATCACCATCACCATCATCATCCTCATCCTCCTCCTCCTCATCATCTCCAGTACCACCCCAGGCCACCCAAGATTTCAGTGTGGCGGGCGTCCCGGGCGATTCCACCGAAGGGCGCGGCAACGAGCGAGCGACACAGACAAACAGGAGGAGGAGGAGGGAGACCAGGGACCAAAGCACCAACAGACCACCGAGGAGGAGAGAAGAGGAGAGAAAAGGGAGAGGACGGCGGGCCAGAAAAAGAAACTTGAGCAGTCGCGGTTGCGGAACGACGGCAACCTGAGAGCACGCGCCACCGCGACGGCCTTCGGTTCACGAGAGATGAAACGTGCCAACACAACCATCTCCAGTACCACCCCAGGCCACCCAAGATTTCTGTGTGGCGGGCGTCCCGGGCGATTCCACCGAAGGGCGCGGCAACGAGCGAACGACACAGACAGACAGGAGGAGGAGGAGGGAGACCAGGGACCAAAGCACCAACACACCACCGAGGAGGAGACCCACGCCCGAGAGGAAAAGTGGCGGCGAACACGACGCCGAGAGTAACATAAACAAGCTAGAGACAATCAAACTTGCTGGAAATAGGACAGGCCAGGGAAACCAAACGCCTAAACCCTTGGAAACCAGACATCCTCGCGATAGAATCGGCGAACAATCTACAAAACTTCAAAGGGTACGCTTCGGCGAGGCGGGTCCAGAGGAGCCCTGAAATGGGGTCGAGGCCAGAGAGGATGATGTGGCGCTTCCCCGAAAAAAGAGCAGAAACCTTTCCTACAGCTACAGCGAGTCACCACGGCGGTCTCAGGACGATGGCGGGCCCAGCAGGCCACTCTCGTGTACTTTCGCCAGCGGGCGCCGAACGAGCACATGTCAAGGTCGTGGACCGCCACATCGGGAGCCTTACGTAGCCGTTGGATACCTGGAGTCCGCCACATCCAGGAGTTCCCAGGATTCTCAAGCAGAACGGGCACCCCCCGAGCGCGGCACACTGAGATGATGCCCAAGACGAACCTCAGCTGGTGGTTGCCCAGCTCCACGGCCGCGCGAGGCCTGCCCGTAAGACCCGGGAGGCCCCAGACGTGCTCACGAGACCGTATCGAACACCAAGGGGACCCAGGCGGCCCGTGACGGGCCTGGCTCCACGAACTGCACGGCAGGGCAATCCAGACGGCAGCGCAGACGCCCCCGCGAATCCACCCTCTGAGCGTCTGACGGACGACAGGCAGGTCGAGATCGAACCGCGGTTTTAAAGCGAAGTCCATCGGCAGCGCGGCGATGTTCTTGCGCCGCAGCGCCGCCGAGAGACGGCCTGTGCCAGCGAACAGCTCTAAGACGGCCGTGCGAGGGGAGTCCTTCTGACGCTTGAAGCTGCGGTGAAGCTCTCGGAGAAGGTGGCGGCGAATGGCTGCATTCGAAGGCTTCCCCTCGCAGTCGGCGGCGAGCTCTACTGCTCGCGCGGGGTCAGGCTTGGCACGGGCACGGCGCGCCCCTTCAGGAAGATGTGGGCGAGGGCGGCGTCCATCGCCTGGCCGTAGGCGATGATCCGTGGGCCCAGCCGCTGCAGCTCCGTGATGGTGCGGGCCTGCTTGGCGCGCCGCTTAAAGTTGCGGTCGGACGCCCAGCCGCCCCGTTGGTGCACCTCGAGGGCCCGGCGCTTCTTGGAGAGGAGGCCGTCGGCAGCTCCTCCGTGGCGGAGCCCGTGCGCTGGGACTGGGAATTCGTTCAGGCCCAGCGAGCGCGCGGCCTCCTTCGTGCACGTGCCCAGTGAGCCTGTCTTCCCCAGGCGGCCCAACTCGCCTGGATGCAGCAGCAGCGCGGCGAGCCCCGAGCCCCCGGCGGCCGCCCCGACGGGGGGGGCGATCTGCATCGTGGCGAGGAGGTCGGCTTCCGACGGGCGCAGGTAGCAGGCGAAGCTCAGGGTCATGGCAATGGCCTGCTCCAACTGTCCGCGCTGCATCATCACCCCCGCCAGCGCCGCCGCCCGCAGCCACGGCAGCGGCGCGCGCATCCGCCGCGGGGCGCACTTGCCCTAGCCCGCCAGGCTGCGCGAGGCACGGCAGAGCGCCTGGTCGCCCCAACGCCCGATCGGCGGCAGGAAGACCTTCAGCGCGGCAAGGAGGCGAGAAGCATCTTCCCCGCTGTGGCCCTGGAAGTAGAGGAAGTCGAAGTACATCACCACGATCGAATCGAGCAGCTGCCACTCGCTCCAGTCCAGGTGGAGCTCGCGACACCACTGGATGAACGCCGAGGCGCGCCTCTGGTAGTCGGCGAGCGTGGCCTTGCCGACGGGCCGCTGCTCGAGGTACGTCAAGCCCATCATCAGGGAGCCACGGAGGGCCTCGCGCCGACGGGCTGCCGCAGCCGCCGGCACCGGCGCCATGAGGATGCCCGAGCCAGACTCCTGGGGGACGGACAGGATATCGACCGCTCGCCCCCTCGGCATCGGAGGCTCGGCCGCCCGCGGGCGCTTCCCCGCCTGGGCCCGCATCAGGGAACAGACGAGCACCAAGCCCAGCAGCCACCTCGGACTCGATCGCCTTGATGTAGGGCAGTCCGCGGGACGGCCCATCTGAGGGGTTGAGCTCGCTCGGAATCCATCGGGCGACGACGTGCAGCTTGCACCCAAGCGAGAGCGCACAGATCTCACGGAGAACGCTCCGCTGCTGAGGAGGGGCACCTCGCCCCTTCCCGATAGCCAGGGCGAAGGACATGTTGTCGACGAGGCAGACGATCCTGCGGCCGAAGGCCGAGGATGACCTGAGCTGATGGCGGAGCGCCGAGCCAAGGGCGAGGCCCTCCGCGCGGTAGATGTCGAATGAGTCCCGCCAGGCGAAAGAGCGCGTGACCGCCCAGGCATCGCCTACGAGCAAATTGGGGCCGACCTCGCCAAAGGACTTGTCCCAGTTCTTGGCCTCGTCGGAGGGCAGCCGCCCAGGGTCCCGTCGCACTGCGGCCGCATCGGCAGTCCCAAGCGCGTGCTCGCGGGCCCGCGCGGACTCCTCGAAGAGGTACCTCCACCGCTCGGCCGTGCGGCCAATCTGCGCGGCGGCCTCGGGGTCGCAGCGGCGGCGGCGCACGCCGCAGCCCCAGCCTGAGGCGTCGCTGGCAGTGATCTCGTCGCGCCACGGGGCGTCGGTAAACGCCGCGAAGAGCGGGGGCAAGGATCGGGCCTGCCAGAGCTCGCGGCGGACCGCGGGCCACAGGGGGAGCGGCTCGTCTCGCGCGGCCTGAGTGAAGGCGTACACGCTGTCGAAGATGGCGAGCGAGCAGCGCTTGAGAAGCGTGGCCCACGCGCAGTGCCCGACGACGATCTCGACGATGGCACCGCGCACCCTGGGCCGCCGCAGGAGCTCCTCGATGGCATAGCGCAGGCGCCGAACCCGCCTGGCCGACACCCGCACCGTGTGCTCGCGTCCGTCAAGGTCGAGGCCGACGAAGCTCGCCTGGCGCGCGGCGTCGATCTGCTCGTGGACCACGAACCCGAGCGACGAGAGCTCCTGCTCGACCTTGCCCGCCGCGGCCTGCACCTTGGCCCGCTGACGCCGTGCGACCAGGTAGTTGTCGACGTAGGCTGCGCCTGCGGCAGGGCGTCGAGGTCCGAGACGGACGCCAAGGCTGCGGTCGCTGACCTGCTGCTCGGGCGCGATCCCCGCGCGAGCCAGCGACGCCTCGGAGACGCATTGGCAGAGGTGCAAGGCCCAGGGCCAGCCCATCGGCAAGACGGCGAGCTCGGGAAGCAGCCAATCGGACGCGCGCAGTGGCACCCCATCAAGATGAGAACCTCCAGCCAGCCCTGCCCGAACGGGGGGGGGCGAGAAATGCTCGCAGAGGCCCTCCGGGACGCGCATCGCGTAGAAAGCGTTCGAGATGCCCCCGCTACTAAACCACGCGTCGCCGCTGCCCTGCGCCCCCACGCGCGCGAACGCGCCGCCGCTGGGCAGCTCGGTGCAGGGGGGCGGCTTGAAGCGAGCATTGCTGATGCGGGTGTCGAACACCAGCCGCTGCTGCCCCGACTTCTTGGCGACGACGAACACCCCCAGGAGGCCGCGGCGGCCGCGGGCGGGCGACATGCGCAGCATCCCGCGGGCCAGCAGCTCGGCATTGAACTCGCCGTAGGTACCGGGATGCCGCAGCTTAGGATCGATGCAAGGCCGAGCGAGGCCGAGGTCGCGACGCAACGCAGCCGCCTCCGCAACGCAGCCGCCTCCGCAGGCGGGCGAAGCATGTGTGCCTTCCAGTCCTGCAGCCACAAACGGTCAGCCTCCAAGAGCGCGGACTCCAACGCCACGGGCGCAGAGCCGCCCGAAGGCCAGGGCGCGAGATCCTTGCTGTAGGACACCATGTCGCCGCGCCCCGCAGTGTAGAGCGGGCAACTGGAGCATATGTCAGAGAGCGACGAGGACGGAGAGACGTCAGCTGGCGGGCCGCCGAACTTGACATACTGGTCAGCGATGTAGTCGAGCGACTTCCGCTGGAAAATTGAAGGCAACTTGCGCACAGGCGGCGAGCCGCCACCAGCCAGCCAGTTGAGTGCGTCGATGCCGTCGTTGGCCCAGGCGAGCCGCGTCTGGCAGGGACCGCCTCTGCAAGCATGCGGGTGATCACCAGGAGACAGATGAGGAAGAGGAAGGACGTTTCGCTGACGACTGACCGACATGGCGTGGGGACCACGACGGCAGGAGCGAGTGGCTGAAAGGGGGGCCCTCCGGGGGAGCCAGGGCCCCGGTGGCCGCAGCAGGTCTGCGAGGGGAGGGGGGATAGCTCTTGGCCACCTTCGCGCCACCGCCGCTCTGGCCCGCCCCGCGGGCGCCAGCGGGCGGGTGGAGGAGCTGCCGCTGCTCGCGCGCCTTGCGGCGCTCCTTCGCAATGGCAGACTGGGCGGCCAGCTGCTTGGCGATCCACTCCGAGAGGGCAGGCGCGACCATGACCCCGCGCGTGGACTGCATCCCCGCGAAGAGGAACTGTTCGCCTCCCCCAGGCCCTGGAGAGCGCGAGCCGACGAGCTTATCCTTGCACCGCTCCTCGCATAGCTGCAGCTGCCGCGCCGCGAGCTCCAGGCGTGCAAGGTTGGAGCCGTCGATCTGGTCGTGCGGCTGTGCCACCTGCACGATCTTGGAGTACTCGAAGTGCACGCTGACGATGGGGTCGTCGGGGGGCACGCCAACGCCCAGGCCGGCCTTCCAGGCAAGGTGATGGCCCAGAGGAGACCCCCCCTTCTCCACCTGGTACGTCGCCACCCAGCGATCGGCGGTGGGCCCTGGGACGGGCCCGTCTGGGGAGGCCGTCGGCCGCAGGAGCTGCACGCTGTCCCGATACTCGCGACGCCGCTGGCCCTGGCGATCGTGCGCCGTCGGCAGCGTGCGGAGGTCCCCCGCGCCCTCCCCCGGTGGGCCGCCCGGAGGCGCCGCCGCAGCAGCGGGAGCAGGAGCTGGCTCGTCAGGGGGAGGCCCACCGACCAGGGCAGCCAAGCCCGCGAGCCCGCCGCCAGCCTCGGGCGCCGCGGCGGCGGGAGGCGCGGCGGGGGCACCAGCGGGGGCCGCAGCGGCGGCCGCGGCGCCCATGGCGGCGGGCGCGCCCGCGGCGATGCCGCCACCAAGGGGCCCGGGCCCTCCTCCAGCGGCGACGACGGCATCGGGAGTACCGCCGACACCCCGAGCACCACCGCCCTGAGCACCGTCAGCAGCACCACGACGGCCATCGTGCTCCGCGAGCCTCGCCGCCCCGACGACGCAGGCCTGCGCGAGCTGGGCCACAGTTGGTGCGACCGCGAAGTCGTACCTCCTGATGCCCGCGGGGCAGACGGCCCCGAGGGGGGCAACACCAGCAGGCCACTCCTTCCCCCAGGTGCGCACGTCGGTGTTGGCGGCGTCGCACTCCTCGACGTACACGTCGAAGTCGGGGGTGAGCACCGCGAAGTGCTCCACTGAGCGGGTGGAGCATCCCAGGACGATGCCCTTGTGGGCGAGCCGCGGTCCAGATTCGTCATAATCAACCCAGATCTCATCGCCCACCGCAATCGTGAGAAGCGCCCTCGACCTCCAGCGCGCGGCGGCCGCCAGGCTGGCGAGTCGCCCGCGTCCGCCAGCACGGGCGGAGGGGCGGCGCGGCGCGCGCAAGCGCAGCGAGCCGCCGGGGCGCCGAGGGTTGCCGCCCCGCGTGCCAGCTCGGCAGCCAGCAGGAGCAGGCACCCGAGCACGGCCTCCCACCCCCGGGAGGGCCGCCCGCCGCCGTCCGCCTGGCCAGGGGGACAGGCGGGGCAGGGGCGAGGGGGCAGCCGCTGCCGCGGGCGTCCGCGGCGCCAGGGGCGGGGGCGGCGGCGCGGGGGCCGCGAACCACCACCAGCGCGACAGGAGCAGCACGCCGAATTGACCTGCGAGCGGGAGGCCGAGCGATGCCAGCGAAGCGCATCGGGTGGAGGGCCTCTCCCTCCAGAAAAAGAAACTTGAGCAGTCGCGGTTGCGGAACGACGGCAACCTGAGAGCACGCGCCACCGCGACGGCCTTCGGTTCACGAGAGATGAAACGTGCCAACACAGCCATCATCATCATCATCATCATCATCATCATCATCATCATCATCATCATCATCATCATCATCATCATCATCATCATCATCATCATCATCATCATCATCATCTCAGCATCATCAGCAGCAGCATCGCATTCGGCATCGGCATCGGATCGGCATCATCGGCATCGGCATCATCATCATCATCATCAGCATCATCATCATCATCATCATCATCATCATCATCATCATCATCATCATCATCATCATCATCATCATCATCATCATCATCATCATCATCATCATTCATCATCATCATCATCATCATCATCATCATCATCATCATCATCATCATCATCATCATCATCATCATCATCATCATCATCATCATCATCTCACTCCTCCTCCTCCTCCTCCTCCTCCTCGTCCGCGTCTTCATCCTTCTCCTCCTCTTCGACATCTGCCTCCTCGAGGGGCGGCAGCAAGGCGAAGAATGCCCTGCCCCCCGGGGCCTCGTCCATCACCAAAATCTTGCACTCCTGTGCCCGGCGACCCCACCGCGACCCGTGCACTCGGCCTCTACCGCTCGCCGGCCCACCGCCGGGCCCCCATCTGCCTCGTCCTCCCGACTCCTCGCTCCCCCGTCGTCCGCCCTCCTCCCAGTGCCGCCGCTCCTCGCCTCCTCGCCCCCCCCAACGGACTGCAGCCACCTCTGCGCGCGCCGCGGGGCCGCGCGCAGGCTCGCTGGGGCAGAGCAGCTGATGACGACTGCGATTGCGGGCGCTAAGGGGATCAGAAGGTGCATGTAGACGTTTTCCTAAACAACTTGTCTGTAAGGGCTCCGTATCACTCTTCTGACGCCCCGCGAGAGATGGCAGGCCTGCGAAACCGCTGGCCCAAGTCATGCCACCCCAGAGTGATCTGCGTAAAGCTGTTTGGGGCTTTCTGCTGCAAGGGTGTCATTGTTTCGAAATGTCGATCCCCAAAGGCCTGGACCCATTCCCTGTGACCAACTCTTCATCTTGAACATCGTGTTTTTTGGTCACGGCGCAAAGGGGTATGGGGCATGAGACAGGATGTCATTCTTCGAGGGAGGGAACGCCCGTGCACCCGCGGCCAACTCCTTTAGATCGCACACGCTCTTGTTCGCCAGGTCGAGCACGCGGCCTGGGGTCGCCACCACGATGTGGACCTGCCAGAAGCGACCAGCGAGCGGCCGTGGTGGGGCGAGGGGGGGGAGACAGTCTTCATCGTCGTCCTCCTGCTCCTCGTTCTCCCTCTCTTCGTCCTCGTTCTCGTTCTCGTCCTCCTCCTCCTCCTTCTCCTCCTCCTCCTCCTCCTCCCCCTCCTCCCCCTCCTCCTCTGCGCCCTCATGCTCGTTCTCGTTCTGGTCCTCCTTCTTCTCTTCGTCCTCCTCCCCGTTCTCATTTTCCGTCTTCGCTGCAGTATTCGTCGACGCTGGGCACCCCTCTAGCTGCGCGCAAAGATGGGGGTCGCCCAGTATGAGGCCGCCCTGCCGAAGCAGCGCGCAGAGCCTTCGAACTCGCGAGGTTATTGATTCGCAACTCCATTGCGATCTCTTGCCTTGTCTTGTCTTGTCTTGTTTCGATCCTCGTCCTAGATTTCCTCTTCGTCCTCTCCCTCCTCCTTGCCCCCCTTGTCCTCCTCCTGCCCCTCCCCCGCCCTCTCCGTGCCCCCCTGCCTCCCCTGCCACTGGGGGGGCCAGACGACACCCAGTCCGCTGCTCCGCGGACATCTCCATGGGGCTGCGCTCCGCCCAGGATCACGGAGCGAGACGGGCAGTGACCGCGAGGGGCGGGCAGGGGCACTCCGTGCCCTCTCCCCCACCTCCTCCTCCTCCTCCTCCACCTCCTCCTCCTCTCCACCTCCTCCACCACCTCCTCCTCCTCCTCCTCTCCCGCCCCCTGTTCTCCCTCCCCTGTTCCCCCCCTTCGGCGGCGCGCCGGGGGGAGGGGGCGGGGCGAGGCGGCGGCCCTCTGAGGAGGCAGAGGGGGCTTTTCCGAGGGGGTCGGGCGCGGTGGCCGGAGGCGCCTCGTTGTAGAGGCGCATGATGTCTTCCCGCAAGCTGGTGCCGCCAGTGGAGACCATGCACTGCACGTTCATGTGCTTCCCGAGCTCCTTCACCACCTGGCGGACGGACATACTCCTCCTCCTCCTCCTCCTCCTCTCCTCCTCCCTCCTCCTCCTCCTCCTCCTCCTCCTCCTCCTTCCCTTCCCTCCTCCCTCCTACTCCTCCTCCCCCTCCTCCCCCTCCTCCTCCCCCTCCTCCTCCTCCCCCTCCTCCTCCTCCCCCTCCTCCTCCTCCTCCTTTCAGGGGGGGGGTCATTTTTGCAAAATGAGGCTCTCGCCTTTACACCGCGCACAAAAAGCTAAAACAGCTTCACTGTTTATCATGGCTAGCATCACCCAAAATGGTGCTTTGGAACTATGTCGAACTGTCAGGGCGCAGCAATTAATTACATTGATTCGTGATGTTGACGTCCAATAAATGGTGGTCTGGCACGATTCAGGATCGTCAAGACGCAACAGTAACAGTGATTCGCGGCGTTGAAGACCCAGCAATTGTGTTCTGGCACAGTTCAGGATTTTCAAACGGATGTCTTCCAACGGGGCATTTGCATCAGTGATAATGAATCCTTGTAGAGGCCTATGAGGAGGGAACTTGAAGGGAGAGTGCAATATGGTTGATGAGTCTTGGGTGTGCACTGGTCCTCCTCATGCTTCTCCTCCTTATCCTCCTCCTTCCCCCCCGAGCGGCGGACATACACACAATGGTGGCCCAGCTCCTGCACGGCTTCTTAAACAATGGGGGACAATTCAATGCGGCCCATCATTTGGCGCTGTAGGCATTTACTGTGAGGAATCGGGCTAGACTACACTCCAGACCCATGTCCCGCGACCACTGACGACGAGTGTTCCCCGCCACCGTCTGACGGTCCGCGCGACACAGCGACGAGGTTGAGAACCAATTTCGTTCGCCCGTCAAGAGACATGCACCTTGGCTTTGAATTTTGAATTGCCTTGTACGTTAGTAGTTCTGCACAACCCAATGGAGTCCGCTCGTATGCCCTGGTGCCTCAACGAGCGTATCCTGTATCGCCTTTCGACCTATACCTATGGGCGACAGATCTCCTCGGCTAGCTTCTCTCTCTCTCTCTCTCTCTCTTAGCATCGTCGCCGTACACTGTAGTTGGACTAGTGTTGCCATAATCTGCCAGCCCTCAGCGTGTCTTGGCCCACGACGACACCGCTCCTGCAAAGTGAATGTGTATCACGCCTGGCGCGATCTCCACAACTCGTCTCTTATGTTAGCGTTGTCTCGGGCCCGCTGTGTCCTGGCGCCCCATGCTTGTCTTTCAAACCTTCCTGTATGCATGCGTACATGCGTTTACATATAACCATGCATGTTAAACGTTGTGTTTGTATTTATGTGTATATCTAACACCAGAGAAACGCCCCAATCAGTGGATGGCTTGAAAGTTAGTGATATGGATATTGGAAAGAGCGTGTTCTACCGCTGCTGGCGGAAAACCGAGGGGGGGTCACTACCGGTTCGAACCCCTCCCCCCCCCCCCCCCCGGAAAAAACCGGGGGGGGTCACTACCGGTTCGAACCCCTCCCCCCCCCCCCCCCTGCTCATCATGAAAAGGGGGGGGGGTCACTACCGGTTCGAACCCCCCCCCCCCCCCTCCGGATTCGGAAAACCGGGGGGGGGTCACTACCGGTTCGAACCCCCCCCCCCCCTCGAAAACCGAGTGGGGGTGCGGACAGTGGTGGGGACGGTGTTGGTGGGGACAGTGGTGAGGGGATAGCGGGACAGTGGTGGGGACAGTGGGACAGTGGGACAGTGGTGGGGACGGTAGTGGTGGGGACAGTGGTGGGGACAATGGTGGGAACAGGGGGGGACAGTGGACAGTGGTGGTGACGGTGGTGGTGGGGACAGTGGTGTGGGGACAATGGGAATGAGGTGGAAACAGTGGGACAGTGGAGGGTACAATGGTGGTGGGGACAGTGGTGAAGGCGGTGGCGAGGACGGCGGTGGGACAATGGGACAGAGGTACAGTGGGGACAGTGGTGGGGACAGTGGGGACAGTGGTGGGAACAGTGGGACAGCTCAGTGGGACAGCGGAGGAGTCAGTGGGACAGTGGGGACAGTGGGGATAGTCGGGCAGTGGTTGGGGCCGTGGAGACAGTGGGGAGAGTGGAACCGTGGTGGGAACAGTTCTGGGGACAGCGGGGACAGTGCGACAGTGGTGGGGCCACTGGTGGGGACAGTAGGGGCGGTGGTGGAACCAGTGGGGACAGCGGTGGTGAGGACAGTGGTGCTGGGAACACCAGTGGGGGATGTGATGCGGACGGTGGTGGGGACCGGGAGTCGTTTGCTGGCGGTGAGTAGGGGGGGGGGGGGGGGGGGGTTCGAACCGGTAGTGACCCCCCCGGTTTTCCGGATCCGGAGGGGGGGGGGGGGGGAGGGTTCGAACCGGTAGTGACCCCCCCCGGTTTTCGAGCGGGAGGGGGGGGGGGGGGGGGGGAGGGAGGGGAGGGGGGGGTTTTGCCGGGAGGGGGGGGGGGGGGGGGGGAGGGGTTCCAGCAGGGGGGGGGGGATTTTCGGAGGGGGGGGGGGGGGACCCCCGGGTTCTGGAGGAAAAGGTTGGCAATTTTCCACAGTAAAGCGGCGGTGGATCACGCTCTCTCGGATATTGGGATCGATTGTGAGATCGATGAGATCGATTGTGGGATCTATAGTGAGGACGATCGTAAGGTCGATCTGAGACCGACAGATAAGTCGATTCAATGAGATCGAAAGAGAGATCGATCGTGAGATCGCTCGTGCGATCTATAGTGAGATCGATTGCGAGATTGATAACGAGATCGATTGTGAGGTCGATAAGGGGATCCATAAAGAGGTGGGTAATGAGATCCATGGTGAGACCGATCGATAAAGAGATCGACCAAAAACCCGGGAACCTAGAAACCCGGGAACCCCGCCGCCCACCGAAATCGGCCCGGAACCAGCAACTGGGAACTGAGGAACCCGAACCCGGGAATCCAGCCGCCTACCGAAATCGGCCGGGCAATTTCGCCAAATCTTTCAACATCCGCTAGGACCCCCTCAGTGCAAGCACTGATTGGGGAATGTGTTTATACAGATGTGCACGTGCATGTTTATACAAGCGCGACACACCCTTTGCCTCGCGTCAATCTTGATTTTACCACTTTTGCGACCAGCCTTCAGTTGAAGGCGCCGACACTCACTCCAACGGATCGATTATCTCTCATAGAGTCACTCCTGTTCTCACATTTCGTACCGCCGAGACCTCCGGCGAAGGGCACGGAGTCGCTGTCACTGGCCTAACTGGCGCCACCTCGCATGTCCCAACAGCCTTCGGGAAGGTAAATTGGGTCAGCTTAGCTCGTAAATCTCCGTTCCAGAAACACAATCGGTCTGCTTCGCTTGCAATAATTAGCCGGCATAGGGCTACAGCGGATACCCAGCTCCATCTACTTAGCATCCCTCCTCCTCCTCTCATCGCGAATTTCGGCAGCCCAGTCACAGAGGCTTGACCCTGAGCACAATTACTCACTCTACCACTTGGCCTTCCCTTTTCTGCGCAGGTCCCCCAAGCTCTCAATACAGGAGCCCGAAAGGCAAGGCCACCTCCTAGGTCCACCGCTTTCCACTGCCCTGGAGCATTTTAGCCGCCTGTCTTGCTCCAACAAAGTAACGCTCGTCTAGACATTGTGTTCTTGACCACCCCACGTACCATCCCTGTTCGCCTAGAGGCCTCATAGATGGGGTCGGAGTAGATTGGGTCGGAGGATCGCGCCGCATCGCCGATACATTGGCGATGTATTGGCGATGTATCGGCGATGCATCGGCGATGTATCGGTGATGCATCGGCGATGCATCGGCGACGTCGACGTGAAGCAAATCGGGCTCCACATCGAGCCGCATATGATTCCTCTTCTAATTTGCTATGGTTCCTTCGCCCCCCATGTCATTGGAGCATCGCCTGCCTGGTCTATCCCAGGGGTACTAGGTGAGGCGGTCTTCCCTACATTGTCTCGAATTTGCGAGTTCAGAGGCTCGCTCTGGCGCGTGAGGTTGAGGAAGGACGGAGGGAACATGACATGGAGGGGAAGGGGAGGACGACGGCGAAGCAGGGGAACGGGAGCCTCCTTATCAAGACCCCGCACGTTCCCGGCTAGCAGGAACACATAATGTGAAGGCTGGGGTAAAGAGAGGGATGAGAGGCGGAGGGAGCGGAGGGGATGGGATCGGGGAGGCAACTGGGCCGTCTGAAGGTCTGAAGCTCCTATGCAAAAGGCAGGAACACATTCCTTACGCATGTGGACACAAAGAGACTGACGCGTGCCTTCATATCACATGCCGACATGGTAATGCAACTGAGCATGGTACGTCATTTCGAATGCGGGCGCCTGCAAGACCATTGTTCGAGAACGCGGAATGGCGAGAAGCTTTGGCTTTCTATCCGTGCCAACGTTCCAGACGACAACCGCGCGGACGGCGGACGCTGGCAATTTTCGGTTGAAGCAGAAACTCGCCTGGGGAAGCGGAAGGAGGGGACATGAGGGAGGGGAAGAGCGAGGGATGGAGATGCGTAGTGATATCGGCTAGGTGGAAATGGTGCTCGGGAAGAAAGGACCGAGGGAAGGAGGGATAACGGGATGGCGGGATAGAGGGAGGAGATGGAAGGTGCGAGGGGGGAAAACGAAGAGGGAAGCAAAATAATGGGTAACAGAGAGGCAGAGTGGTCGGAGGGGAGGGGAGCGGAGAGGATCGAGGAGGGGACAGGATGGGGCAGGGGGCAGGGGAGGAAATGGGATCCTCCCTCCTCCCTCCCTCCTCCTCCTCCTTCTCCCTCTCTTCCTTGCCTCAGCCCAGCACTTCCCTGCCTGCTCCATCCTCGTCTGGCTCTCCCCTCCCTGCCTCCCTTTCTGCATCCCTCCCCCCACCTCCTTGGTCCCACCTCATCACCCCACTCCTCCCTCTCGCTCCTCCTCCTCCTCCTCCTCCTCCTCCTCCTCCTCCTCCTCTTCCTCCTCCTCTATACCTTTTCCTTATAGATAACCTCTCCCTGTCGCACCCCGAGATTCCAGTTTTT